TATCACCATCCACTTATTTAATTTAATGACATTTTGAAAATTTAATTTTTTTGTCGGTTAATGTTTAAGCTATACGCAGAAATCTTCGGAGAATTTAAATTATCATTTTTTAATTAGAAAAGTTTTTAATTAATTTTATAAATGAGATATATTATGGACACTATTATCGTAAGAAAAATATTTTTCGAAGAATGAATTTTTAAAAGAAGTGTTTTCATTTTATTTAAAATATTTTAGTTTGTAAACTTTTTAAATCTTTTAAAATTCTGCATTAATATGAACCGGTTAGGTGATAATGTTATTAAGTAAAACCTATATTTACTAATCATAAATGAAAAGCTTACTACAACTGAACGATCGCCAGCATTTTAAAAATAAATGAATTTCTTTTTGGTTCCAATCAGTTTAAATTAGTATTGAAATAGAGCAAAGTGTTTTGCTTATTGGAAATATTAAATTTAATCTATTATCTCCCCAGGACATGTGCGATCATGGCTCACCACGATTTCCTCTCCTTTGTAGCTCATAGTAAATTTTGTCTTTTTGCTATCTCTCCTCAACCCTGTTCTACCAATTACTTCCTCTGTTTCTTTTGCTTTCAATATACCCTGTGAGTGTCAAATTCTCCAAGACCGCTTTCTTCGTTATGTGCTCTATAAATTTCAATTGTTTCTTTTTGACTGTAAGTTTTAGTGTTTTTATTGTTTACATGTTCAGTCTTCTGTAGACACTTCTGAAGAACCACACCACTATTATCTCAAGTCTCTTCTTCATCTATAAGAATATTTTCTATCTGAATTTCTGGGATGATGTTGTAACCTAGAGAGAGTTACTGAATGTGTAATAACCAAAACGGAGGTTGGAAATGAAATGGTAATCTTTATAACATCAACAAAATACAATACTCGCCAGCGGCGTGAAGCAGGTAAACCACTGCTAGTGGTGGACTACTTATACAACACATTACGATATTTACCTGCCTCCCCACGAGGCAGGATGCGGCACAAGGCCAAATTTAATGTTGGGAAAACTGAGACCGTAGGCTTGTGCAAAAATTGCCCGTAGACCCCGCATACTCAGGATCGGGTATCTATCTACCTCCCCAGAGAAGATTCTGCCCTTTGGCGTAGCCTCATTCGGATTTCTCAAAGGCAGAGAGTTCGACACGGCAAGAGTTTCCCACGCTGCCAGCTAAGCATATTACCCCCCACAAATAGTGCCCAACGTATTTATGAAGATTGGGACATACCCATTAGTGTTCATAGGTATGGTATATAACAGATGAGGAGTCACTATATGCGGCCTATTGTCCTCATCTTTGTTGTTGGAATCACAACGTTTCGACCATCATCAGTTGTATATCTATCAGAGTAACCTACAGAGAATTCCGAACTGAATTCTTCATTTAATCTACGGGACTAGACTGTTCATGTCTAGGGATATCTCGTCTAGTTCTTATTTTTAGTATTGCTCAGTTATTGTTAGGTCTGTTTCTTCTGAGTTCCAGTACACACTGCCCGGCCCGGCCCGGGGATTGAACTCACAATTGCTATGTCATTAAATTCACGAACTAACGCTTTAATCCACTAGGCTATAGTCCAGTAGGAGTTATCAGTAAGTTACCCGGATCAATATACATCTGATGATGGCCGGAGAGCTCAACGGCCGAAATGTTGTGATGATAATAGTTCACATGTAAATAGTGTAAAAGGAAATTGTCCAGCCATAGGAGGACCGATATCCAGTACTCTGCTTTATTCTTAAATAATTCCCCCCACCTTTTTTTAAAAAATAATTCCCCCCACCTTTTTTTTTAAAAAAAATACTTTTGCATAAAATGCGCGGGTACTTTTTGGGTGTTAAATTTGATTAAAAGTACACGTTACAATGTCAAATATATGATTTACATTATTCGACGGCATCTTACACCCCCCCCAATACACCTATTTATATTTAATATTATAGTATTATAGAATTCGGCGTGGTACAAGTACTGGTAATCTATGGCGTCTGGGTAAACATTAGTCTTCCAAGAAAACAACTATTTTTATTATACATAAGATACGCCAGTCGACAAAATCAAAATTCCAAGTAATAAAATAAGAATTTCAGCCAATCAGAGATTTCCTTCTTTTCAACAGGAGTCAAACACCAAAGCGCAAAAGACACAACTCGGGTTACAGAAGTCTTGTTGTGTCGACAGACCATAAAGGCGTCAGCAAAACACTAACCCCAAGGCTTATCGTTATCTGTCAGAGAACCATTTTGAGGATATTGGTGAACAAGAGGGAAGACACAAATGGAAGACATTGGTGATTCTACCTGGCAAGCAATTATGTATTATCAAAATGTTTCGTATCAGTAATCGGCCTGATCACAATAGCACATGTGCCGCTTCTCTGACAAGAAGTAGGTTACTACATGCGGTCTTGAACAGATATGGACTCTGATATTTCGAAGTGTATATCCTGGCACAATGTTATCTACATAGAGCGTTTAGTAAAAAAAAAGAAAAAGAAAAAAAAAGGAAAGTGAACTAATGGAAGTATATGTCCTTGGTGTCAGTTTAAACTGACGCATTCCTTACACAGACACACACACATATATATTCAGTTGTAACTCTATCACTAATATTGAGTGCTTTCCAATAAGTATCGCGCATATATAATATATATAGAATATATATATATATATATATATATATATATATATATATATATATACATACATATATACACACACACACATATATATATATATATATATATATATATATATATACTGTGTGTATTTAGGCAACATTTTTTTAATTCATATATGTTTCATTAAATAATATAGACAAGTGTTGTGTATTTATTTTATGTAAATTCTTTTCATAAGGTCTGATAAGCTTAATAACATCATTAAACGAAGAAAGAAAATCACAATATTGATACATATTTTTTAATCGAATCTAAGCTTTCGGCTTACATAAGCCATTATCAAAGATGACAAATATATATATATATATATATATATATATAATTATATTACAATTTTTGCTTACAATTACAAATATATATATACATGTCTATACATACATACATACATACATATATATATATATATATATTTAGGAAGCAATCCTTCTTTCATGCACATTTCATAGCAGAAGGTGCTTTATTTAGTTTTTATGCAATTTTTCATGCGATCTAATTTTTTTTTCTTTTCAGATGATAAATTATATAAAAACTGTCCGAATGTTCTTTCGGCTATACATTTAGCCATTTTCAAGGATTAAATATTTTAACTGTTTACTAAGAAATAGTTTGTTGCATGTATTAATGTATAAACTGGGATAGTGATGTATAAATAGCAGTATATATGAACAGGGACATCTACACTGTGTAGAATTCCTGACAACTGGACTAAGAAGGCCTTCCGGATATGAAGAATTAGTTACAAATGAGGGGGTTATATTTAGATTAAAATAAAAGAACTAAAATCAGGTTTAACATTTATTTTCAATGTTTTATAGCAAACAAAATCAGCTAATGATGAGTGAAATATAACGGAACTGATTTTAAGGAAAAAGAAATAAATTATGTAATGTTAATTAAAATTCATTAAATTAAGTATGCCACGTATGAAAACAAATAATGTAACGATGATTTTTAATCGCTGTTGCATGATGATTCTTTCTCTTCTAATGTCATTCTCAACTTTTTCTGCATTTCATTTTGCTTTTGTTCTTGAAATTTTTTAAACAAAATACACTTTTTAATTCTGCGTGCGTTATTGCTTATCGTCATAGCTGAATGCTGGCTTTCTTTCCATAAAACTGACAACCTTTTCAATAGCTTTTTCAATTTCATCACAATCATGTTTTTTTTTATTTCCTTGTTAATTGTGACAGTGTGAACGCTGGAGAATAGTTTCTTTGGAAGATTTTATATCATACAATGTTGACTTGCCTATGTTGAACTCAGGCATTAGTTACAATGAATTTTCATCAGCGTCTAGTCTGCTTAAAATTTTTGCGATAACTCTAAAGTTGTTCTTTTCCTATTATCCCTATCATCTTTCATCACCAATACAAGCCATTAGGGTGAAATAAGCATAAGCAATTATCCAAAGTAAAACAGAAATTTCAAATCAGTTATATATCACCCAAACAGTTCAAATATACACATCAAAATCATGTCCTGATATAAGGGATTCTACTGTATTTAATTCTGGAACCACCGGGTGTTATATGTAGTCCATCATCACTATCAATGTAATCTGAGTATTATCTCCCCTTATCTCCCTTTGATCACGGTGTGGAACTCTCTTGTGCTTGGGAAACATATTTGTATTATAGAGTCTAATGAAATATCCTGCTTGATTCAGACGTGTCTTTGCATCTCTCGCTATTCAGTCTTATACTAACCACGATTGCCAATGTAACATGGTGTAAGAAGCAAGTGCGGGTCTTTAGATATTAATCTTGTGCCAGTAATCTCTAGCCCAAAACTCATTTAAATATCAGCCTTTAGAAAGCAAAGTGATATATATTTAATGCGCACCTAACAGACGGTATGAACGTTTATCGGCATAAGCAACCCAGAAGTACAGAGTTTTATCACTCAGCTGTATTGTCTGTGTCTATTCGCTCTCTTTACAAAAAACTAAGACGAAATCAGCTACTACGACGCATCGAAGGAAACCGATTTACCTGATAGCTATCAAAATTAAGAAAGAACTTTTCAAATTGACTTTCCTTTGTACACTATTTCTTGTTAGCAAACTATGCCAAGCACTCAAAAGCTAGTGGTCTCTTTCGCCTTAAAACCTCTGGCACAGTTTTAAAAAAAAATCTTGGTAAAGACAATTTAATACTCAGCATTTGAAATCCTGATCTGTTCCAGTAGTAAACTCATTACTGTTTCGGCCACCAAGTAAATCTCTTTGCGGTTAGACAGCAGAGAAATGCCACAATGAACAATATGGGAATAATACAAGTCTTAGACGCAAATGAACTAAGACAGATATTTAATAGTCAGAAACAGACAAAAAGAAATGAACAGAAATAGAATGAGAGAGAGATAGACTGAGGATGAGGGTGTTATAGAAGCCAACCATGAAAGCCTAAGAAACACAACTCATGTTACAGAGGCTAGAGAAGGATGTTATAGATAATAATTACTATTTATGAAATGTACTTTAGTCTGGGAAAAGGTCATATTTTATAAAGACAGCGGCAACAAAAGACGTCGTCAGAGATAATTATTGAATCATATATTGACTGTTTTACGGACACTAAGATAGGTTGATATCTAACTACGAGAAGAAGAGATAGTCGATTATCTAACAATGCGGATAATTGTTTTCAAATATTGTTAGATATATAGTTGCACGAACAAGCAATTACTGATTTACTGAAACATTTTCATGGATTGAATGATGACGAGCACTTATTGAGATAAACAAGCTGGAATAGCTAGCTAGCTGTATTGATATATGTTATCGATAGGAAGGTATGAACGTACGTAGATAGATGTGAATGTGTGATAGAAAGATAGACATGAATATGTGCGAGATTGCGAGGTAGATATGAATATGTGCGAGATAGAGAGATAGATATGAAAATGTGCGCGATAGAGAGATAGATATGAAAATGTGCGAGATAAAGAGAGATATATGTTCGAGATAGAGAGGTAGATATGAATATACGCGAGATAGATATGAATATGTGCAAGATAGAGAGGCAGATATGGATATGTGCGAGATAGAGAGGTAGATATGAATATACGCGAAATAGATATGAATATGTGCGAGATAGAGGTAGATATGAATATGTGCGAGATAGAGGTAGATATGAATATGTGCGAGATAGAGGTAGATATGAATATGTGCGAGATAGAGGTAGATATGAATATGTGCGAGATAGAGGTAGATATGAATATGTGCGAGATAGAGAGGTAGATATGAATATGTGCGAGATAGAGAGGTAGATATGAATATGTGCGAAATAGAGAGATATATGTGCGAAACAGATAGAAATGAATATGTGCGAGATAGAGGTAGATATGAATATGTGTGAGATAGAGGTAGATATGAATATGTGTGAGATAGAGGTAGATATGAATATGTGTGAGATAGGTAGATATATATCAATATGTGTGAGATAGATAGGTAGATAGATATGAATATGTGTGAGATAGATAGGTAGATAGATATGAATATGTGTGAGATAGATAGGTAGATAGATATGAATATGTGTGAGATAGATAGGTAGATAGATATGAATATGTGTGAGATAGATAGGTAGATAGATATGAATATGTGCGAGATAGATAGGTAGATAGATATGAATATGTGCGAGATAGATAGGTAGATAGATATGAATATGTGCGAGATAGATAGGTAGATAGATATGAATATGTGCGAGATAGGTAGATATGAATATGTGCTAGATAGATAGATATGAATATGGGTGAGATAAACAGATAGATATGAATATGTGATAGATAGATAGATAGATACGAACTGACTGTGATAGCAATGTCATCCCTTGATCTATTCTTAAATATGTGCTGCGCGGATGTGGCTTTTTAAAGTCTCGCGAATGTCTTACATTCTCTTGCGCAGATGTGACAATGTCGGGCGTCTTTTGCAAGAGTTGTTACATTTATATATTGATGAACATTCAAATGTCTTTTTCGTGAGGCAAGTTTTTTACACTAGAAATGCCGCCTAACATAGAAAGATTTATAGATATGGACACACTGAAAATGTCTTGGTCTATCCAAGAAAACCATAAAAAATCTGATGTTTGATAATTTAGTCAGATTTGGGAAATTTGGTCGGACCGAAAACATTTCAGCTTCATCTTAAATATAAACAAAGCGAGATAGATAATATGCAAAGCTAGCTAGTTGGACAAAGCGAGATAGATAATAGGCAAAAAGCTAGCTAGTTGGACAAAGCGAGATAGATAATAGGCAAAAAGCTAGCTAGTTGGACAAAGCGAGATAGATAATAGGCAAAAAGCTAGCTAGTTGGACAAAGCGAGATAGATAATAGGCAAAAAGCTAGCTAGTTGGACAAAGCGAGATAGATAATAGGCAAAAAGCTTGCTAGTTGGACAAAGCGAGATAGATAATAGGCAAAAAGCTAGCTACTTGGACAAAGCGAGATAGATAATAGGCAAAAAGCTAGCTAGTTGGACAAAGCGAGATAGATATGAAGAAAACAGGATACATATCTTTTCCAATTTTGTTTTAGTGACGTGAGAGTGATTTGACCTGGAGCTCATTTACCCGCACTTTTCTCCATCAAACTTTGTGACATGCCAAGGTCAAGACATTTTTGTCACGGTATGTGGAGATAGGACATTTGTATGAATTCAAATCGTAGCCAAGGATATTAATATAAATTGAACATAAGTAGAAGCAGCTGAAATTCGAACTCTGTTTGCTAATTCCGTTTGCCCTACCCATAACCGTTATGCTATTTCGGATACCCTACGACCTAATA